CGGCTGTTGCGGTAGTGACCACTGGCAGTTGCCATAGTGACCACTGGCAGTTGCGATAGTGACCACTGGCAGTTGCCATAGTGACCACTGGCAGTTGTCATCGTGACCATCGGCTGTTGCCATGGTAGCTGTGAACGGTCTGCATAGCAACTGTTGGCTGTTGCCACGGTAACAGCTGTAACTGTGCCAGACGGTTGAGGGTGCAGTGGGGCTCGGGACACAGGGCTCCTGCCCACGGGGCACGCTCTGAGGCAGCTGCGTCCGGCGCTGCACATGGGGGCGGCCCCGGGGCGGAGGATCCACGGGAGGCCATGAGCGGGGTCCGGGTTCCCAGGGGGAAGGGCCTCTCCGGCCACTGCAGCCGGAGCGTGCGGGCCGGGGGGATGGGTGCTGTGTGAGGAGGGGCAGGGGTGCAGGGCAGCGGGAGGGGGTCGGGGGATCCCTGCCTCATTCCCAGGCTAGGCTGAGCCCCCCGAGGGCGCTGGGCAGGGCTGGCAGGATCCCGGGAGGTAAGGGGAGGGCATAGGTCAGGCAGGAGGCAGGGAGGAAGCTGCTGGGATTCCGCAGAAGCCGTGGTCGGCAAACGGCGGCTCGCGAGCCACAGGCGGCTCTTTGGCCTCCTGCGTGTGGCTCTTCCACAAAACACCATGGCCTGAGCGAGTCTATGTGGAAGAGTGGCTTTAGAAGTTTAAAAAAGTGGCTGGCTCTCCAAAAACATGTCCATCGTGGTGCTGCTGGTATTTGGCTCTGCGTGCTAATGAGTTTGCCGACCGCTGCTCAGAAGAAAAGCTCAGCCGACCCAGGGCAGCCCTGCCAGGCCCAGGGAGAGCCCAGAGAACTGGAAGCAGCTTGCAAGGTACCCGGCAGGATGGCGTGTTGGCGAGCACATCACACACGCACACACGCACACACAGGCACACACGCGCGCTTGCACACAAGCACAAAGTACACACGCACGCCCACACCCGTGCACACCCATGCACACATGTGCAAGCATATACATCCACACCCATGCTCATGCGCGCACACACGTGCACACACACATGCACACACTCTGCCTCCACCAGGAAATAGCAATACAGAGCTTATGACCACAGTGTGTGTGCCCTCTGGGCCGGGCCTGAGGAGCCCGAGGTGGTTGTGTGAAATGGACACAGACGTAGGGAGCTCAGGAGGCCCGCCCGGGAGACCAGGCTCAGCTGACGCTGGAGCCGATGCCACCGGGAAGAGCCTGGCGAGAACAACATCGCTGATGGGGAGCGCCTGTGCCAGGCCCTGGGCACGCCCGGGTCCTCACGGGCCCACCTCACAGGTGGGAAGACTGAGGCCCGGGCGGTCACAGGGCAGGTGAGTGTGACCGGCACTCAGCTCTTACCGTCAGGGTCCCCCTCTTTGTCCACGGCAACCTGTCCCCCCCGGGGAGCCGCTCCCAGGCCAGTCCCCACCCCAAGGGAGTGAGCCGGCTGGCGCTGCCGGAGCAGAGGGCGGCCCTGACTATCCAGCCTGGCAAATATTGACTCCCGGGCACCAGCTGGCGGCCCTCGGGCCCTCTGGCTGCTGGGCGGGGCGGGATGGACACTGGCTCCCTTGGGGCACGCAGGCTGCTGGCTGGGAGTGAACCTGATTTGTGGTCTCCCTCCCTCCCACCGGTACTGGCGCCCGGGCACTCCACATGCCCACCCAGCGTTAGTGCCCGCGGCGGGGGGCAGCGGGGGGCTCTGAATGGCCCCCAAAATCTACAGCTTCACCCTGGATGCGTCCCCTGAGTCTTGTCCTGCAGAAACCTGTGGCCAACCTGTGGCTCTCCGCCTCCTGAGCGAGGATGGGAGGGAGGCAGAGAGCTGGGGGTGGGAGGCAACCACCCAGGAGCCCCGCGTACCAGCCCCCTGCGGCCCCACCTGCTGGCGTGTGTCCCTGCACATCCCTCTGTCGGGGGCAGGAAAAGGACAGCGGGGCCAGCTGCCCGGGACACGGCGCTCACGTCGGAATGCAGTCCACCCTCACGGACAGACAGACAGCCCTGAGGCCCACACCACCCAGCCCCGGAGGCCCCCGCTCTCTACGCACAGCCCCAGCCCCTGAGGCCGGAGTCTGGCCCCAGGGTGCCCGGCGGCGCCCGCCCCCCTCCCTCTGCCCCCCTCCCCGCCCGCAGGGCCCGCAGCCCCTGAGGATGCGCCGTGCGTCATGCCCACGTCTGTCATTCCTGCACCCTCACGTCCTCCTCGTCCCCCCGCCCCATATAGGCAGCTGGCTCATGAGGGGCAGAGCGGACGTCGGTGGATGCCCTGCTGCTCTCCTCGCTGCCGGCAGGACAGGGACACACGCTCCCCTAGGACTCCGCCCGTCTCTGCTGAATTGGCTCGAGTGACAGGCAGACCGGACCCCTGGGTTGTGGGGTTACAGCTCCTGTGCCCCCTGAGCATCTGTGCAGGAGCCACAGCAGGTGAGCCAGCCATGGGTGGGCACCCTCCTGTCCCCTCCTGTCCTTGCTGCCCCCTCCCAGGAGTCCCCCCTTCCCTGTCTCTCCCCCGCCCCACGCCCCTCTGCACTCACCCCCGGCCGCTTCCACACGAAGGGGATCGGGGGCCTCTCGCTGTAGAAAAGGGAGGCGCTGGTGGCCGGAAAGTCAGGGTCCTCGAACAGGACCCCCTTCTGCAGGCACTCCCGCCGCAGCTGCTCGAAGCTCTGGCCGGAGGAGTGGGTGCCGCGGGCATCCCTGGGCGTGGGGTGCCCCTGGGGCTGGGGGGCCAGGCGGAGGGAAGGCATGGCTGGTCCCCGGGCAGCGGACGGACGCGGGGCCGGCGAGGGACGGGAAGGAAGGAGTGAGACGCAGAGACGCGAGCCCAGGCCCTGGCTCTGCCTCTTTGCCCGGGAACCTCCCTGCCCTCGGAGGTGGGGCACGCCCGGATGGCAAACGCCAGGGAGAGGCCTCTGCCCACAGGGCGTGCGAGGCCGGCCAGGGCCAGGGTGGGGCAGGACCCTCTGGGGAGACCCAGTGGGGCCGGCAGGGAGAGGTGGGAGGTGGAGACGGCTTTGGGGAGAGAGTGGGAGCCACGCTGGGCCTGGAGGGGGTGGCCAGGACGGGTGTTGCTCAGGACGAGGGCAGGTCCTGAGTCGGAAAACGGTGGTGCTGCCCTCGGGAGGGGGCCCAGGAGTAGAACCTGTCACTAAGAAATAGCACCTGTCACGGCCGTTACTGACGGCCACGGCCTGCATGGCAGGGGCAGAGCTCGCTCCCGGGGCCTCGTTTTTATTCAGCAGAGGGGCTGGCAGACCCTTTCCGTAAAGAGCCAGCCCTATCCGGTGTGGCTCAGTGGATAGTGCGTCGACCTGCGGACTCAAAGGTCCCGGGTTTGATTCTGGTCAGGGGGCATGTACCTTGGTTGCGGGCACATCCCCAGTGGGGGAGGGGGAGCGGGGGGGAGGTGCAGGAGGCAGCTGATGGATGTTTCTCTCTCATCCGTGTTTCTCTCTATCCCTCTCCCTTCCTCTCTGTAAAAAAAAAAATCAACAAAATGTATATATATATTTAAAATAAATATAATGTATTTTTTTAAATTGATTTTAGTGAGGAAGGCAGAGGGGGACAGAGATAGAAACATCCACGAGGAGAGAGAATCACGGATCCGCTGCCCCCTGCACACCCCACCCTGGGGAAGGAGCCCGCCACCCGGGCCTGTGCCCTGACCTCCTGGTTCCTAGGTCGACGCTCACCACTGAGCCACCCCGGCCGGGAGTGCTCTGATTGGCCAGGGCACTCGCTCAGGCCCTCTCCGCGTCCGGGAAATCGGACACGGGAAGCACAAGGCCTGACCCCACGCTCCACGGAGGCCTCCCCAGGCTGGCGCCCCCGCCCGCGGGCGGCGGAGCCCGGTGTTTGCCTTGGCGCCGGTGCCGGGGAAGCGCCCGCAGAGGGCAGTTCCGTGCACCGGGCGGCGAGCGAGATAAGGATCGGCTGCCCGGATGGAAACATGCAGCCCGCCTGCTCCGCGGACACTCTGTCGCTGGCCTGACGGACGTGCTGTCCTGGGGGCCCGAGGGGCTAGCTCTTGCAATAACTGAGCTCCGGGAAAAACAATATTTACTTAGCGATCAGCTCTTCCTCCACGGAAAACATGGCGGAGACACTGAGGGGAAGCAGGCTGGCCGGCGTGGCTCGGTGGTGGAGCCTATGAACCAGGAGGTCCCAGGTGGATGGCCAGTCGGGGCCCGTGCCCGCCGTGTGGGCTGGATCGATGGAGTGCAGGAGGCAGCCGGTCCATGATTCTCTCTCCTCACTGATGCCTCTCTCTCTCTCTCTCCCTCTCCCTTCCTCTCTGACATCAACACAAATAGCTGGCTCTTTGTAAATATATATATATATTTTATTGATATTTTACAGGGAGGAAGGGAGAGGGAGAGAGAGCTAGAAACATCCATGAGAGAGAAACATCCATCAGCTGACTCCTGCACACCCCCTACTGGACTCGCTCATGCCCGCAACCAAGGTACATGCCCTTGACCGGGATCGAACCTGGGACCCTTGAGTCCGCAGGCCGACGCTCTATCCACTGAGCCAAACTGGTGAGGGGGAAAAAATAAAAATAAAAAAAAGGAAAGAAAGAGTGACCCCAGGCCTCGAGGGGGCATGTTCTGGGGCAGAGGCGCCACACACACACACACACACACACACACACACACAGGATGGCCTCCCGGGAACTCCAGTGAATGTGTAACTGGGCCGCGTCCCGTCCCAGCGCGTTGTGTTCAGCCGCGGGCGCATCGATCAGCCCGCTTCCTGGAAGCCGTCCCAGCAGGAGTCCCTCTGGCTTCCGTCCAGCCCCCTCATCGGCCGGGCTGCTGGGCCCTCCCCCTCCATGATGTAACCCCCTCCCCAGCGGGGCACAGGCCAGCCTGGGCCCAGCTCCATCCCCGCCCCTCACTTATAAAGAGGGCCCTGGGCCGGCCAGGGGAAGAGCTGACCTGATCCAGGGGACAGAACAGTGCGTGCTGGTCTCGGGGACAGAAGCAGAAGGTCCTGTTTTTGGGGACAGAAGCACAAAGTCTTGGTGTTGGAAGTGGACGCAGAGGGTGCTGGTCTTGGGGCTGACGCAGACGGAAAGTAAGCCGGGAGTCCCTCTCCACACACCACCCGAACCAGGCGCTCCCAGGACAGCTGAGCCGTCTGCTGGGCCCAGAAATTGGGGTGGGGGCTGGGATGGGGGGCAGAGCGGCTGGAGGGTGGTAGCTAACCTGCAGCCAGGGCCCAGGGGGCAGGGGGCAGGGAGCAGGGGCCAGGGGCCAGGGACTAGGGGGCAGGGGCCAGGGGGCAATGGTGACCGGCACTGCAGGCGACTTGACCACTGAAGACCCAGGAAATGTGCTGCCCTCCCGTCAAGCCAGCCGTGCAGGCCTGGGCTGTCTCCCCTCGGCCTCAGTCTGGGCCCCACCAGAGACCTGGTCCTCTCCCAAGCCTCACCATGGCCGGATCCCCCCCTCCCCCAGGTTCATGGTGGCCAGGAGTCCACTGGGTCCTCTCCCAGCCAGAGGGACTGGGCAGCTTGCGGTGCAGGCAGAGGGGGTGGTGGTGGGGAGTCTGGGGAACAGAGGGGCCAGGCTCAGGGGGCCCACGGCGCAGTCTCTGAACCCCTTTTGAGCAGACCTGTCTTTCCTGGCCTCCCTTGCTCCTGGCCTAGGGTCGTGGTCGGCAAACCACGGCTCGCGAGCCACCTGCGGCTCTTTGGCCCCTGGAGCGTGGCGGCTCTTCCACAAAATACCACGGCCTGGCCGAGTCTATTTTGAAGAAGTCTATTTTGGCTCAGAGGATGGAGCGTCAGCCTGCAGACTGAAGGGTCCCGGGTTCAATTCCTGCTGGGGACGCATGCCAGGGTTGTGGGGCGTGTGGGAGGCAGCCGATCCATGAATCTCTCTCCTCATGGAGGTTTCTAACTCTCTCTCCCTTTCCCTTATGTTTCCCCCCCTAAATATATATATTTATAAATTTTTATAAAATACAGTTATACATCTTTATTGATCTCAGAGAGGGGGGGGAGAGGGAAAGAGAGAGAGAGAGAAACATCCATGAGGAGAGAGAATCATGAATCACGCCAGCCGGGCTATCCATGTTTCCTGGGGACCTTGAATCCATTTCTTCTGGAAGCTCACATACATGAAGGGTTTGTACTAGGCTAGTACTCGGCAAACGGTGGCTCAAGAGCCTCATGCGGCTCTTCGGCCCCGTGAGCGTGGCTCTCCCACAAAAGACCACGGCCCTGGGCGAGCCTGTGTTGAAGAGGTGGCGTTAGGAGACGTTTACGTTTAAAAAAAAAAACTGTGGCTCTCCGAAGACATGTCCGTCGCGGTGCTGTTGATGTTTGGCTCTCCGGAGGGATGAGTTTGCCGACCGCCGCCCTAGGCCAATCGGGAGCCAATCAGACTCCGGGACACTCAGTAACCTTTCACCCTCCACCTTTCACTTCCAGACGCGCCATGAGCCGCGCCGGCGCGTGCCTCCGGGCGGCCGCGCTCTGCCTCCTGGTCTGGGCCGGCCTGCCGGCCGCCGACCGGCTGTACATCCACCCCTTCCACATGCTGGTCTACAACCAGAGCGTGTGCGAGCAGCTGGAGCGGCCCAGCGAGGCGCCGACCCCCGCCCCCACCTTCACGGCGGTGCCCATCCAGGCCAAGACGGCCCCGGCGGACGAGGAGGCCCTGCGGGAGCCGCTGGTGGCCGCCGCCCGGGGGCTGCAGGGCGAGGACAAGGCGCGGGTGGTCACGGTGGGCATGCTGCTCAACTTCCTGGGCCTCCGCCTGTACCGGACGCTGGCCGAGACCCAGGCCCCCCCGGCGGCCACCCTGCTCTCCCCGACCGCCCTCTTCGGCACCCTCACCGCCTTCTACCTGGGGGCCCTGGACCCCACGGCCGGCCGGCTGCAGGCCTTCCTGGGGGTCCCCGGGGAGGACCAGGGCTGCACCTCCCGGCTGGACGGCCACAAGGTGCTGTCCGCGCTGCAGGCCATCCAGGGCCTCCTGGTGCTGCAGGGCGGGGCGGCCGGCCAGGCCCGCCTGCGGGCGGCCACGGTGCTGGGCCTGTTCACGGCGCCCGGCCTGCGCCTCAAGCAGCCCTTCGTGGGCGGCCTGGCCCCCTTCGCCCCCGTGACCCTCCCGCGCTCCCTCGACCTGGCCGCCGACCCCCGGCTGGCCGCCGAGAGGATCAACAGGTTCATGCAGGCCGCGACCGGCTGGAAGACGGGCAGCCCGCTGCGGGAGGTCAGCCCGGACAGCAACCTGGTCTTCAACGCCCTCGCCCGCTTCCAAGGTAAGCAGTACTCTGTCCCTCCACGGCCCAACCTCGCCCTGGCTGGTGCGGCCCAGTGGTTAGAGCATCCGCGTGTGCACCAGAGGGTCCTGCGTGTGATTCCTGGTCAAGGGCATGTACCGGGGTTTGCAGGTCCAACCCTCACCCCACCCCCAATCAGAACCTGGGAGGGAGGCCACACCCACGGCTCTGTCTCTCTCGCATCCATGTGTCTCTCCTCTCCCCTCCTCCCTTCGCCTCTGTCTTAAAAATAGTAATAGCGTGACATCCCGTTACGAGGGCCTCAGGCACAGCTGGACGTCCCTCCCATGGGCTCCGGCCGCCCTTTGCCCAGCTCCGCTGACCACCCTCCCCCCCTCCCCCCGCGGCCTCCACCGGCCTCGGTGCTGGCCCTGGCAGGTTCCGCCGCATCCGTTGACTTAACCCGGAGAGATTGACTTAACCTCCGGGCGAGGAGGGAGCCTGCAGGGGGGTCGGAGGAAGAGGCGGGCGGCCCCTCCCTGTAGATTCCAGCGTCTGCTTGTTTCCATTTGTTGGTGGGAAAACCTGAGTCCTTTTCCCCCCTCTCTCTGAACGCAAAAGCCTCCTGCTGGGCCGGGGGAGGTCACCAACGCTTCTTTAATAAAAAAAATTTTTATTGATTTCAGAGAGGGAAGGGAGAGAGAGAGAGAGAGAGAGAGAGAGAGAGAGAGAGAGAGAGAGACATCCATGATGAGAGAGAATTATGCATCAGCCGCCTCCTGTACTCCCTGCACCGGGGATGGAGCCCGCAATCTGGGCCTGTGACCTGACCAGAATGGAACTGTGGCCTCCTGGTTCAGAGGTCGATGCTTAACCACTGAGCCACACTGGCTGGGCAGAAGCGTCTTTTTTTTTTTTTTTTTTTTTTTAAGTGGGATGCGAGGTGTGTTTTCCTTTCTTCATCTCTTCACCTTGTTCACCCAACCCCTCCCACCTGACTGACAGCTGTCCGGCTGCTCTCGGTCTCTGTCTCATTGGTCAGTCATGGTGGGCATTAGATCTCCCACGTGAGTGACACCCTAGGGTGCTTGTCTTTCTCTGCCTGGCTCATCAGATTCGGGGGTGGCGGGTGGGGGGGGGGTCCCAGGCTCACGGAAACCTCGGTGCCACCTCTTCATTTTCCCGTAGACGTAAGACTGCTCTACAAAAAGTAACTGGAGCCCTGGCCGGTGTGGCTCCGTGGATAGAGCGTCAGCCTGTGGACTGAAGGGTCCTGGGTTCGATTCCGGTCAAGGGCATGGACCTTGGTTGCAGGCGCATCCCCGGTGGGGGGTGTGCAGGAGGCAGCTGATCGATGTTTCTAGCTTTCTATCCCTCTCTTTTCCTCTCTGTAAAAAAATCAATAAAATATATTTTAAAAAATAAAAAAAGCGACCACAGAGCCAGCCTGCCAGCCTGCTGGACCTCAGGCTCTGGGCCCGGCCGGTTCTGGGGGACTTGCCCCGTCAGTTCCTAGTGGGGGCGGCGCCTGAGCCCTGGGATGCCCCTTGGGGCCCCCAGTAAGGGGGCAGCGGCACAAGCTCAGGTGTGACCTCGCGTTGGCAGCTGCCGTTCCCTGAGCGGCTCCCGGGCCTGGGTTTCTCAGGAGCAGGACTTGGGGGGCCCCAGCGGTGGGAAAGCAGAGGCCTTTGGGGTCCCCGTGGCACCCCCCTTCCCTGTGCGGGCACACCCCTCCCCGTGCCCGCCGCCCGCCGACGCCCCATCTCCTCCTCCGCCTGCAGGTCGGATGAAGGGCTTCTCTCTGCTGCCGGGGCCGCGGGAGTTCCGCGTGGACAACGCCACGTCTGTGGCCGTGCCCATGCTGACGGGCACGGGCAGCTTCCTGCACTGGAGCGACGCCCGCCTCAACCTCTCGCTGACCCGCGTGCCGCTCAGCGCCAACGTGGGGCTGCTGCTGGTACAGCCGCACGACCCTGCGGCCCTGGCCGAGGTGGAGGCCCTCACCTTCCAGCACGGCCTGCTGACCTGGACCAAGCACCTGGCTCCCCGGTACGCACCCCCCCAGCGCCCCCTCCAGCAGGGCTGGGCCTCGGGCACCTGCTCCGGGGGGCCCGGCCGCATGTGGGGGGAGCCCCCGGGGCCACCTGACCGGGGTCTTCTCCTCCGCAGGGCCGTCCGGCTGACGCTGCCCCAGCTGGCGCTGCGAGGCTCCTACGACCTGCAGGACCTGCTGGCCCAGGCCAAGCTGGCCACGCTGCTGGGCGCCGGGGCCAGCCTGGGCGGGATCAGCGAGGACCAGCTCCGCGTTGGACAGGTACGGGCGGCCCCGCCTGATGGGTCTTTTGGCTCCCGGGGCGGGGGGTGTCCGTGCAAGCGACACGGAGGAAGCTTCCGGAAGGTGGGGCGGGGCCGGACAGAGGGGATGCGTGGCCAGGGGGGCGTGTCCGGGTGAGAGAGACGTGACCAGCGCGTTCTGGGCCTGTGCAGAGGTGGGTGGAGAGGACAACCGCTCCCGCCCCTTCCTGGCAGCTCTGAGGTCCAGCCCAGGAAGGTGCCCCCGGCCCAGGGCCGGCCCGTGGCACAGCTCCTGGCTGCCAGGAAGCGCCCCACAGGGGACAGACGGTCCCGCAGCCACGGGAGACCACGCTCCCAGCTATGACCAGGGGCCTGCGAGCTCAGGCTCGTTGCTCAGTACCGTGGACACACGGGGTCCCGCCCAGGCCCGGCCTCAGAGCCCACTGTGGGGGGCAGGAGCCGTCTGTGCTCAGTGACTGGGGTCAGGCCTGGCCGGTTCAGCTCAGTGGATAGAGCGTCGGCCTGCAGACCGAAGGGTTCCGGGTTCGACTCCGATCAAAGGCACATACCTTGGTTACTGGGTCCCAGCCCTAGTTGGGGCGCTTGCAGGAGGCAAGCAATTGATGTGTGTCTCGCACATCGATGTTTCTCTCTGTCTCTCCCTCTTCTTTTTACTCTCTCTAAAAATCAATGGGAAAATACCTTCGGGCGAGGATTAAAAAATAAAGAAAAGTAGCCCTGGTCAGTTTGGCTCAGTGGATAGAGCGTCGGCCTGCAGACCGAAGGGTTCCGGGTTCGATTCCAATCAAGGGCACACACCTCGGTTGCCGGCTCCTCCCTGGCCCAGGCCCAGGCCCTGGTCAGGGCATCTGCAAGAGGCAACCAATCTGTTTCTCTCACATCAATACTTCTCTTTTGTGTTTCCCTCTTTCTTTCACTGTCCCTAAAAATCAATGGGAAAATATCCTCGGGTGAGGATTAAAAAAACAAACAAAAATAAAGAAATAAAAACGAACGAGTGGGATCACAGGGCCTTGTGATCAGCTCACACCTACATCACCCACGCACGGGGCTGGCCGGGGGTCCCGCCCGCCCGCCGGGACAGCCCGGTGGAAGGTGGAGACAGGCGGGTCCGAGCAAACCTCTGCACCCCGGCCTCAGGCCCCGGGGGGCTCCCAGGAGCGACCCCAACGCTGGCTGCTTTGCAGGTGCTGAACAGCGTTCTGTTTGAGCTCAAAGCGGAGAAGGGGGAGCGTCCCACGGGGTCGGCCCACCCTCCCACGGAGTCCGCCGAGGTCCTGGAGGTGACGCTGGACCGGCCCTTCCTGTTCGCCGTCTACGATCAGGACTCCACCGCCCTGCACTTCCTGGGCCGCGTGACCAACCCTCAGAACGCAGTGTGAGGCCAGCCACGGGCACCCAGCCACCGCCCCGGCCACCCAGCCACCATCCCGGCCACCCAGCCACCATCCCGGGCACCCAGCCACCATCCCGGGCACCCAGCCACCATCCCGGGCACCCAGCCACCATCCCGGGCACCCAGCTACCGCCCCGGCCACCCAGCCACCATCCCGGCCACCCAGCCACCGCCCCGGCCACCCAGCCACCGTCCCGGCCACCCAGTCACTGCCCCGGCCACCCAGCCACCATCCCGGCCACCCAGCCACTGCCCCGGCCACCCAGCCACTGTCCTGGCCACCTAGCCACCGCCCCGGCCCGCAGCAGCACCAGCTTGTCAGCACCACCTTCCTCTTCGTCTCCCCACGAGCCAGCCTGGAGCCGAGAGCAGCCTTCTCTGGACCTCAGATTTAGGGGGGACCTGGGGGAACGGGGTGGGGTTGGGGGCAGGTTAGAACCAGCGTTCAGCTCAGGACGACTGTCCCGGAAAGCGTTTGCCCAGACCAGCCTGTGTGTGGGCGCGATCGTCGCTTCCTCTCTCACTGGGAATGGACACCGGGTTTCGGGGTGAGACCGGGGCAGGGGTGGGGGTGGGGGTGTGCAGCGTATGGAAGCGGGGGCCCGCGTCCCTCTTGGTCTCCCCGTGTTCCTTTCCCGCGGCGCCTGGGGGCTTTGGAAAACGCCGGCGGCTGAGTGCGTTAGCATGTAACCCCGTGGCTGGCGATCCTGCTACTAATAAATCTTATCATAGAAGGCACAAAGGGACGAGTCTCTCCTTCACTGAGCACAACAAATATACGTCTTTGAGCAGACATACAGGCACTCGGAGTCACATGTGTTTTTTTTCCTTTTCTTTTTTCTCTCTTTAAAATGTTTTAAATTGGTGGGGGGGGGGGGAGGGAGAGAGAGAGAGAGAGAGAGAGAGAGAGAGAGAGAGAGAGATATTTATTATTCCACTTATTTCTGCATTATTGGTTGATTCTGGTATGTGCCCTGACGGGGGATCGAACCCGTAACCTTGGTGTATGGGGAGGCTGCTCTAACCACTGAGCAACCCAGCAGGGCTCTGAGCATACCTAGGACGGCATTCCATGGAAGGCAGGGCCTGCACGTAGCCATCCTCAGAAGAAGCTGAAGGCAGTGTTTTCTGGACCTTCCTTCCTGCGGGCAGTGGCCGTCTGTGTGCTGGACGGGCGGCCAGCGGGGCTGGGCAGGGGCGGGGCAGACGGGAGCTGCCTGGGCTGTCACTCACTGTGCCCGTTGCCTTGTGTCTGTTGAGCCACGGAGGGCACTTCCTCCCTCCCTACCGTCCATGCCGACCATCTCGGCCCGGCCCAGCTGGCCCTCCTGGTTCGTAGATGGACACTGGACCTCTGAGGCCCGCCGGCCGGGCCCATTACCTTCCCTCTTGGTGCTGCAGGTTCGGAGGTGCCCGCCCAGTGCCCGGCTGTGTGCTGGGCGTGGGGACGCAGCCGGGCGCCCAGTCCCCTCCTGGGAGCCGTCCTGAAGTCGCCCCGGGGGCGGAGCACGTGGGTGGCCCCGCTGCAGCCGGCTAGCGGGAGGACTGGGCACCAACGGCTCTCTGCTCGGCGGGCGGCTGCGCTTCGGCCAATGCCAGGAGGAAGACGCTGCCAAGCACCCGCCGCCGCCTCTGTTCCCAGAATCTCTATGAATGGGATTTGGGTCAGGACGTTCCAAGGATACAAAATCCCAACCGCTCGTTCTAAGGGTTTTTCTTTTTCCTTTTCAATCTGTTCAAAAATTGATTTCAGAGAGGAAGGGGGAGGGGATAGAAAGAGAGAAACATCCATGATGAGCATTCATGGACCGGCTGCCTCCTGCATGCCCCACACGGGATGGAGCCCGCAACCCGGGCCTGTGCCCTGACCGGGAATCCAACCGTGACCTCCTGGTTCCTAGGCTGACACGCAACCACTGAGCCACGCCGGCCGGGCCCAAGGGTTTTTCTTAAAACATTTCTTCTCTGCATCCCAAGTCCTCCTGGGCTGCAAAGTGTGTGCCTGGCAGGCGAGGCACTTACTCAGCAACTGGTCACCTCACCGGGGATTCGTGGGCAGGAGCCCAGGAGGCGGGGCGTCCCGTGGCCCCGAGAACTCACGAGGCCCCGCACCCTGAACAGCGGGGGCTCTGCAGTAGGTTTGTCCCCTCCTCCCCCGGGGCCAGAGGACCCCGCACGCCTGCTTCCTGTCACCGTGGTGCTGAGGACAGATGCCACCGCTCAGCACACGTGTGCAGGTGTGTGTTAGGATAGGGGTAGCAGAGCACCCACACGCTGTGGTCCTTTCCCAAGATTCCCAGCTCTCTGGCCCTCGGCACCCCACCCCGACCCCACCCGGGATCACCCCTCAGGGACCAGCTCCCAGCCGTCCGAGGACCGTCTGTGATGGACGGACTCAGAAGAGCTACACGCGCTCTTGGCAGACACTTTTTATTTAGAAAATAAAGCCTGCAGGGCTCTGGCTCTGACGGAGGTCGGGAAGAGTGACGAGCAGCGGCTCCCAGCACTGGTGGGAGAAGGACCAGCATCTTCCGCGCCTGAGCCGAGCCGGGCGCTCACCCGAGCCGCCGCGGGCCGCCCTGCCCTGGGCCGTCCACGTCCATTCACGTCCATCGTCGACTAGAAACGAGCGCCTCCTCACCGAGATTCACAATAAAAATAAAATCATCTGCTCTGTAAACTAGAGTAGAAAGTGTCACGTGTCTTAAAAAGGATCTTCCATACAACGGAAAAGGCGTAGTGTTCTGGGCGGGGGGTCCTGGCCCAGAGGTGCGGGCGGGTGCCGGGCCCGGGAAGCGCTTGGCAGGGGCCGAGGCGAGAGCAGAGCCGTCCTGGTGCGTCCGGCTCCTTCGGCTCCGGCCCGGCTCTCGGCTCCCGGGGCCTAGGGCTGCTCCACGGTGGCCTGGTCCCTGGCGGCGGCCACCAGCTCTGCGAGGGCCGGGAAGCTCCTGACGTCCTCGGGGCGCAGGCCCAGCTTCTGTATCTGCAGCGGCCGCGAGAACGAGCGGTGAGACGCGCGACGGGAGACGGGAGAGCCTGAGCCAGGTGGAGCCCCCTCGCCCTGACGGAGAGCAGCTCCCCGAGGACAGAGTGCTCGCTCCTTTTTGCGCTGATTGCCAATCCCCACGCTGGGCCGGACGCTTGGCATCTGAGAGCCGGCGTGCGAGTTTGCCTGCACCCACCCGACCCCAGCCCACCCACAGGAGAAGTGAGCTGCTCTCCCCGAGGAGAGGCCTCCACAGGGACAGGCCCTCACTGCGTAGCCTGGACAGCCCTTTCTCAAACCGGCTGAATGGGAACCCTGGCACAGCGTCGTCTGTGAATCGCTCGGTAACCGACGGCACAGCGCATTCCCATGGGGCTCAGCAACGGGCCCCCACACCCTCGGTGAGATCTGACTTCAAGTATTTGGGACCGACCCCTTCCCCAGCGCGAGGGACCAGCCTCCAGGCCCCTCGGGAGCCCCCAGCGGGCCCTCGGACGCGGTTACCTGGTCGCCCAGGTGCGCCACGTCCAGGGCCAGCTGCAGCCGGATCTTGTCGTCGTCGCTCATGCCGCCGGCGCCGGAGCCGCCGGGGGTGGCGGGCGAGGACCTCCGGGCCTGCTTGAGCCTCTTCAGGCTCTCCTCCATCTTCTTCACCGACAGCAGGACATCCGACACCGTCTCATAGAACCTAGAGCACGAGACACGTTAGGGTGCGACAGACACCGGCAAGGGCACACACGCACTCCGGCAGTGTGGACCCACAAAGGAGAAAAACAATTTTTCAGATAAAAATTCACTTCCAATAAAAATTAAAAAAAAATCAGCCGTGGTAAATATTTAATGTTTTTAAGACTGGAAGAAAATTGCCTGCCTAGCACTGCGCTCCCTCCGAACTTAAGAAATATGTGTGTGGGTTTTATTAAAAATTTCGGTCCTGGCCACTCCGAGGAAGTCGTGAGCCATGCTGCCTGACTTCCGCGGCGTGAGCATCCGCAGCGCATTCCTCCAAAGAAGCAAGTTCACTCGCCATCAGTTCTGGGAAGTTCATCTTTTAAAAGCGTTTCAAGATTTTAATAAAACTCCTTCAAACAGTCTCCATGGTCCGTCCCAATGATGAATGAGTTACATTCAAAGACTTTGTTTACAAGATGATTACTTGGCATTTACACAGAAATCATATCAGAATTCATTGTGATGCTTGAAATGAGCCCACAAATCCACTTAACTGCTAAGTAATTGAAGTAAGTATAATACTATGGGAAAATTAATAACTGAACGAAACTCAACAACAAAAGGAGCCACGGGCCCTGGCGCAGTCCACGTGGGCTCCTGGAGGAGCAGGCGGAGTGAGGGACGAGCCGTCCACCCCGGGGCCGAGGCCTCCTCGCCCTGGTACGGGCTGTGGGCACCCCTTTCCTCAGCCCGACAGTCTCCCCACTGCCAGCTCTCTGGCCACGTGGCATTTTGGATCAACAGAGCGAGGAGAGAAAGGACCTCCCAGGAAAGCATGTGACGGGACGTACAGAATGATGCCTGCAGGAGATGGGGCCCGGGACAGGAAAGGCAGGCCAGGGCGGGGCGGGGCCTGAAACTGTATGACCTGGGAGAGCCAGGGCAGGGGAGTGCAGTGAGCACAGCCCGGTGCCCACTCAGATGGGCAGAGACCAGGCTGCCCTCCTTGGTCCAGCAATGCAGCCACATAACGGTCTCCCCGCCTGGCCACCCTCTGATGGCTCAGCGACCTTGAACGTGGGCTCTCTGGGGAAGCCCAGCGCGGCCCCCACGAGGGTCCTCACCTGTGCGTGCTCTCCGAGAGCGCGCCCTGCAGCCACTGCTGGATCAGCTCGGGCTGGAGCTTGTCCTGGTGCCCGCTGCGCAGCTGGTGGCACGGCCGCAGCGCGCTGTCCACGTAGGAGGAGGCGGTCGTGGGAACCTCCTGGGGTGGAGGCGGTGGGGGGAGAGATGCACAGAGAAAACGAGAGAGGGGCCGTCGTTCAAACCTCAAGGTCTCCTGCCACCTCCCCCGCCTCACAACTCCCCGCAGGGAATGGCGCCGACCTTGTTGGTCCTTCGGTAAAGCCGGGGCACTTCCAGGGCGCTTTTCAGGTAACCGAAGCAGGACTCACTCAAGTCCTGGACGATCCTGGCGCTGAGGGCGGGCACGCAGGCCGCCAGGGACAGCCGTGAGTCCTCCAGGGCGGCTGTGACACACAGACCGAGCTCAGCCACCACCCAGGCCGGCGTGACTGTTACTTTAAATGCTGCCGTGGCATTCAGAGAGTATCACGCATGGAATCAAACGGCCGGCATGAAACCCCACTGCCCACCGAGGGCCGTTACAGTCACACCATAGAGTAACCACCAGGGGTTTATAGCTACAGAGAAGGGGAGCTGAAAAGCAGCCCAGCCTCTCAAATTTTATTCTAACTCCTTTCTTACTCACACATGTGCTAAGTCTGAGATTTGCTTTTACCTGAGAGGGAAGAGAAATTCTTAAAGCCGATCGTCTCCAGTTTGGGCCTGATGGTTTCCAAGAGTTCCGGGAGCTGAAACAAACGTGCAGTTGAGGCCGCAGCTTCTTTTTACGCAAGAGGCAATCCCCTTTGCATATCAGGGACATAAACTCAAATTTAGCCACCAAGTTCTCTTAATAAAAGCCAAAGCATGGGCAGGTGCAGAAACAGAGAGAGAATTAATAGTCCAAGGCTTTCCCAGGGGAGCTGAAGAGTGAATGTGACTAAGAAGTATTTGG